CATCATTCTTAATTGTCAGAGAAATGCAAATCAAAACCACTTTGAGATATCATCTAACTCCAGTAAGATTAGCCCACATCACAAAATCCCAAAACTACAGATGTTGGCATGGATGTGGAGAGAAGGGAACACTTCTCCACTGCTGGTGGGAATGCAAGCTAATATGATCTTTTTTGGAATGAAGTTTGGAGAACACTCAAGGAACTAAAAGTAGACATACTGCTCAATCTTGCAATTCCTCTACTAGGTATATACCCAGGTGATCAAAAAATCATTTTACAACAAAGACACTTGCACCAGAGTGTTTATTGCAGCCCAATTCATAATAGCCAAGACATGGAAACAGCCCAAGTGCCCATTGACCATGAATGAATTAACAAATTGTGGTATATGTACACCATGGAATACTATGCAGCCATAAAAAGATGGAGACTTCACATCTTTTATGTTTACCTGGATGGAGCTGGAACATATTCTTCTTAGTAAAGTATCTTTCAAGAATGGGGAAAAAAGTATCCAATGTACTCAATACTACTATGAAATCAATATATAATCACCTACACACTCATATGAATGGCAAAACATAACTATAATCCAGAAAGTAGAAGAGAAGAGGAGAAAGAGGGGAAGCGAGGGGGGACATGGGAGGAGGGAGAGTATTTGGGGGGACCTCACCTAATGTGCATGATGCAATGGTACATTTCAAAACTATTTAGAAATAAGTAAAATTGTGATGCATGTGTTACTTAGTTCAATGTAAGCATTTCACATTGCATACTAAAGCAGTACCGTGAACTGAACCCCATAAATGCAACAATGTACAAAGTTATGATTTAATAAAAAATAATTAAAGAAAAAAAAGAAAATAGAGAGAAAGGGGCAGAGAAAATATTTGAAAAACTAATGACCAGAAATTTACCAAATCTGGTAAATTTACCAAATCTGGTAACTTACAAAGAAATTTATTTTTCACTGTTCTAGAAGCTGGGAAGGCCAATATCAAGGTATTGGTATCAGCAAGGGTGTTCCTGCTACATCAGCCCATGTGGAAGGGAAGAAGGTGAGGTGGCAAAGAAACCGTCCTTTAATAATGAACTCACTCCTCCAATAACAGACCCACTCCTACAATAACAGCACAAACCTAGCTGTGATGGCAGAGCCTGCATGGTCTAATCACTCTCACGAGGTCCCATCTCCCAACATTGTTGCATTGTGGATTAAGTTCCTAACACATTTTAGGGAATACTTTTTTGGGGGAGACATTCAAACTATAGACGATTATAAGATTCAGTATTAACAAGATGTAGATTCTTTCCAAAATTGCAGTTTCAATGTAACTCCAATCATAATCCCACTGGGATCTGGGGTTTTGTTTTGGGTAGACAAACTGCTTCTAAATTCTATGGAAGAAATGCAAAGGATCTACCATACCAAATACAATCTTGAAAAAGAATCACAAAATTGAAAGATAACTTGACTCAAGTTCATGATAAATCTACAGGAATCATGACAATGTGATTCTAGCATACAAATTAACCAACCAGGGCAGCGCTTGTGTCTCAAGGAGTAGGGCACAGGCACCATATACTGGAGGTGGCGGGTTCAAACCCAGCCTGGCCAAAAACTGGAAAAAAAAAAAAATTAACCAACCAACCATTGGTGCAAAATAGAGAACCCAGTCTTAGATATACACTTTTATAGTTTTTTGACAAGGACACAAGAGCAAATTCTTAGGAAGACTTTTCAATAATTGGTGCTGCAATAACTAGATATCCATATGGATAAATCTAGAATCTTATCCTTCAGCCTACACACAAGAAAATAATCCAAGGTGATTCATCGACCTAAACATATAAGCTAAAATTATAAAGCTCTTAGAGGAAAACGTAACAGAATTTCTTTTTGGCCTTGGATGGAGAGGTGGGAGAGAAGATAAAGGTTTCCTAGGTCATACACACAAAAAGAAATAATAAAACAATTCTGCCTTTCCCAGAATGTGTATTATACTATAATGAACATGTATCATAATAAAAAGTCAAATTTTAATCTCATACTTTTCTTTCAGCTAAAAACAACAACAACAAACCCTAATGTAAACACAATCTAATAGAATCTTCCAGGACACATTACTTACACAAAAACCCGGGAAATACAAATTGGACTATACACATACTTTGCCTCCACTTTTATAAGTATTTACTTATGGGCAGGAAGCAACATTATCCAAAGACTCAGGTATTCCATGGAAATTGTCTCTTAAATCTTTGATCCTACAATTTTTTGTTGCTAGTTTTTTGTCATATAACTTACCAAGAGGTTGATCTCCTGAGTCCACAAATGGTCATACTGTGAAACATACAATTGCTGAATTTACAAGGATTTTCTCTCCCAAACCTAGATTAACTAAATATGAAACATTAACTAGTTAATTCTACATGGTTCCAAATATGATGGAATTAATTAGCTAAGAGAAATTGTACCTAAATCAAATGCTTTACAAAGAAACTAACCTGAGGTAGTTTAAAGATGGTTTCGAATTATTTGAAATTCCTCTAACTGATTCACTGAGAGGTCTGTGTCCACTCCACTTGAACCTGAGCAGCCCTGTGACTGCTTGATCAAAGAATATGATGAAAGTGAGGCTGGGAGTTGATGGGTCCAGGTGTCAAAGAACTGCAGACTCCTCTTATCTTTAAGAACCCCACTGTCATGCTGTGAGGAATCCCAAGAAGAAAGAGCTGTATGGAAGAATGCCATGTAGGGACTTGCCAGGCACTGAGGGAGCCACGCTGGAGGTGAGTTGTCCCGCCCCACTTGAGACATCCCAGTCAACACCTCTGTCAGAGACAAGATGTTCTTGCTAAGACCTCCCCAAACTACAGTTCTGTGATCAGAATAAATTTAACTGCTTTAAGCTACTAGCTTTTGGTACTGTTTGTTATATAGAGACAGGACCATTCCCAAATACTACCTGCCCTAATCATAAACTGATTTCTCAAAAGGAAAGCCTGACCCAGACCTACCCCCCTGACTCAAAGCCAAGTTAACCAGATCTAGTATTTGTATGATTCAGAAGGCCACGGAGGTCAGAAACAAACAAACAAACAAACAAACAAAGAGAAACCACCAGGCGCCTGGAAACGCTTCACTGCTTCTTTATTAGGACGCACCGCAGTACAGAACCTCTCACACAGCTGTGAAAGGGGAGGTTACATTTCTTTTTTGGGAGCACCTTCATTTTTGTTTCTTTTACCACTCTGAAGAAAGTAAATCATTTCCAAAGAAAAACATTTCAAATTCCAAGTGTGTAAGACTCAGCTTGCATTCTGTTGTGTTTGAAAAGGAGCATGTTTTAGCCAGAACTGGAGATTGTTTTGTGGCATTTTGAGTTAGATGTGGATCAGAAGTCTTCACTGTGTGGTTGAACCAGTCTATAATTTCCATATGCAACTTTTCATATCAAAAATGTTTCATTTTTACCTCTAGTCACAAACAGATGCTGTTTAAAAAAACACACACACACACAGCTAAATTTAAAACCAATCATGAACCACGACATTACTAACAGGAAAATGAACTTTTGCTGCCCTCTCCTGCTAAAACAATGAAATACTAAGATACCAAAGGATTCATGAAGCCAAAGCGAAATCCTCAAACCAAAAGCAACGGACATGTCATTCTCATTATACTTCAATCAAAAATCAGACAACCACCAGAAAATGTCTTGGTAAGGTAATATTTATATTTGAAAGCTCCCCATTATACATGAGGTTTGGATTACAACTTATTTACAGTGAGTGATTTCAAAAAAAGGAAAGAAAGTAAAAAAGGAAGGGAGAGAAGAAGAGAGGGAGGGCTGACAGGGAAGAAAGAAAGAGGAAAGGAGAAAGAGGAAAGAAAAGGAACTCAGGGAGGGAGGGAGGGAAACCGACGTTCACAGACACCCTAATAGGGGACGTGTGTTTCCTAGAGAGATGCTACCGCTGCCACAGTGCACAAGCAGCAGCACAAGTTAACATTCCACTAGGTCAAAATCTGCTCAACTTTCTCTCAAGATGCACAATCCTTCTTTTAGATTTTCAAAATTAAGTCTAGACGAATATAAAATGCATTGCCAATATACCTACTACAAAAATCCTTTGCGGCTCATTCCTTAACTCCACTCAGAGCAGCAGCTGAGCCAGAATACAAAAATAAAAATATTGATGTGCAAATAAAACATCATCAGTGATCATGTCTGATGCCACCTTTTTACTATAGGTGACTGTCACTTAGTGATAACATTGGTAATAGCATCAAAAGAGAGAATCTCTTCATTTTCTGGGGCAGGTCAGTGCCTCCAATTAAAGGGAAAAAACAAACAGGAAAACAAACAAACAAAAAGAAAACAAACAAAAAAAAAACTCAGCACTTACATCCATACGTCCCTTTCCCACCCCACCCCATCCCATCCCCACAAAAAAATAAAAAAGCTTTTAAAGCTCTAAATATACTTTTTTTTTTCCTTTCCATAGTGTGATTGAGCCTAGGGCTATATGGTTAAGTATAGCAGGTGCAATTACAAGCAATTCCTGGCTCTGCACCCTGGACTGCCCCACGCATAGGAGGAGGTACAAAATAAATTAAACTCTTTCACTTAGGCCAACAAGCCCAAGACAAAGGAGCGAACCCTGCTTGTTGAGTATCCAGCGGCATCAAGGGTATTATTTCTTTCTTACTTTTTTTATTTTTTCTTTTCTTTTATAAAAAACAGTCAAATGTTAGGGAGAGCAAAATACAATAAAAATTTTAAAGGACAAAAACTAAACGCTGCAGGAAACCAACCAGGGACGGTGCACAGTGAGAAGGAGGAATGCATGCTTGATTCAAAGTACGAGATGGGTCAGCTCACTCACATGGTCGTTCTAGGCCCACAAACTTAGGCCTCAGCATCATTCTAAACCACAGGGTTGTGTATATTTTTTTTTTCCAAAAACACTCTTAATCCTATCCCTGAAACCAATATGGTAGGGATAAGGTTGGAGTGATCATCACTCATTAACTATAGTATTTGCTATTTAAAAAATATATTTATATATAGTTCTGGAAATTAGAAAGCAAACAAAATATAACACAAAGATGCTTTTGTCACAATTAACTCAAGTTGCAGCAACAGCAGAACTGGAAAGGGACAAAGAGAGAGGGTGGCTGCAAATGCAGCGAGTACATCCTTAAATACGTCACATAGTGCAACAGTCAGATCACCTCAGTCACTCTGCGCCACTGCACACAGGACAGATGTCACATTGTCGCTCTCGGTTAAAAAAAGAAGAAAAGACAGTGCTTCTTCTCAGAAGTTGCCCCAGGAATTTCAGACATACAGCTGTAATTGCTTCTCAATATGTCTAAAATTTGCTTTATTCTCCTCGGTTTGGAATGATCAACATTCAAAATTTACATTAAGGGTATCTGTGTAGTTTCACCTTAACTCTGAGGACAGGGTAAGGTGTAAAAAAGGAACCTGGCCTTTCTCCTTTCAAATGACTGCATTTCCTTCTAATAGGCAGAGATTATTCATAAACCTGTGATCTTAATGTCTTCTATCTAAGAAGATGAATTCATGGCAGAAAGTTGATGCTATCAAAAGTAAATGTACTGCAGAGTCAAAACTAAAAAGCTAAAATCCAAAGGGCTAAAGGAGAATATCTGCTACAAATTTACAAATTTATTTTTGACCATTAGTGTTGAACTCCCATCTTTGTTCCAACACTTTTAAAGTCAGCTGTTTGTTTTTGCAGCCTCCGCCAACTTTACATTGAAAAAAAAAATCTATTAATTCCACTGAACCATGCTGTGCTTGGTGCTGCATATGATCTTTTTACTGCTGTTTCTTTTTAGGAATTAACTATGCCAACTTTTGTTTTGGTTTTTTTTTTCCCTACAAGGTGACCAAGATGACAAAATCCTAATTAGCTGACTTTTCCATATACACTGTGACCTGATAATCCTGAAACACTTCTTGGGGGAGAAATGTCAGTGGCTTTTTTTTTCCTTTTTCTTGAAAACAATAAAACTGCTTACTCTACTTTATATTTAAATGGAAGGAAAAACATACAAGCCCACATTCATGTTTGTCCAGGAAGAGCAATAGTCCGTACGTTCCTGTCTGCTACCATCATAATTCAATACATGAACACGGACTCGGCTCTACACCATGAGGAGGATCATCCACTCACTGCTGCCACGTCCACAGTAAGCAAACCCCCAAACACATATGTTTCATACATAACAAGGCAGCTCCGTCAGGGAAGAACATATTGTACACAATCTGAATAGCAGTTTACCTAATTAACGTAAGATTCTTCTTTAAATACAAAGCAGAGAGCCAATAAGATGTACACAGCCGTAGATTTTGTTTTGTTTTTTCTTAAACAATTTGGTCACGATGCACCTTTGATATAAAAGCATTTTTAAACTTTATTATTAATACTCAGGACATTAGGAATTTCCAGATTTTTTTCAGTAGCATTTGTAGAACCACTTTTGGTAACAAATACAGTAGTTAGGAATACGCATCCACTTTAGAATGCATAATAATGTTTATCCTGAATCCTTTCTGGCTAAAAACAGGGCTGGCGCTGTGATGAGATATTGAACGAGAATCTACAAAAAACACTGAACAGGTTTGTTTTTTCCCAGAGGCTACATCCTCTTTTGCTGGAATACTTTATAAATACATATTAAAAAGTAAGGCAACAACTCCAAACAGTCCAAGCTGTTTGCTCTTCTCTTCCCAATTAGATTCACAATCCTGGTGATCAATTTCATGGTTGTATTATTTAGTGTTTGTTTTTCTTATTTCAAATGATCCAAAAGGATGTTTTTCTGACATTTCTGAAACATCTCTGGTGTGTGTCCAATGATGTATGCAACTAATACTGGTCGGGTACTGAAGCCTGTGATGTCCAGTGTCTGTTTTCAAAGGATTCAAGACTCTGATTTGGACTCACCGTCAACTGACGTATGAATCCAAATTCCCCTTCCCTACTATGTTTATCACCCCTTCTGTTTTTACTCCTAATTTTAAAACTAAAGTAGTACCAGGACTACCTGGTTACGGGAAAGATGTTCACCCCAGTAAACAAAACCTTTACCAGGGACCTTTCTAGTTCACGGCCCCGTTTCCCATGGACGTTCAACTCAGGAAGATGTGCAAAGGGGGAAGATGTCAATTACAGCCACGTCATCCAGAGGAGGATGTTACACAAACTTATAAGGAAATGACAGTCTTTTTTTCTTCCTTTACTATAAATACATGTAACAGCTTAGCAGAAAGACAAGCTAAATTTAAGATTGTTCACATTTGAAACTTGTAACAGACTCTCTGCTAGTGATAAATAAGGAACTCCCCATAATGGAATTTTAACATAGCAATTTCATCAACAGATCTTTCAAGACCGCTTTGTTTAAAAGAGGGTTAGAACAATGATTATGTTTGCAAAGTTCTGAGAAGTCCATCTACTGTCCAAACTTTGGATTCAAGTCCTTATTTTTTTTCCTTTACTTAGAGACAGGTATATACAGTGCTGTTGTAATAATGAAACAAATGTGAAATCTACTGTAAAGTTGCACAATACAGAAAACTGTTGCTCCATCTTCTACTACATAAATGTGTGACTCCACAGGTTAGTAATGGTGTTCTCATTGTTTCTGTTAAGTTGGAATTATCCCATCACGTCTAAGACCTCTCTTTAACTCCAGATCCTCCAATTTTTTCCACAATTCTTCACGCTCCTTTTCTTTCTTTTTCTCACTGAGAAAGAAATAGAATACAATGTAAACAACGCAGAAGGTTTAAAGATATTATCAAGTCATGCCCCTTAATCTAGTTCTCCCTAGGTATGTTTTAAAAGGGAGGGTCGTGAAAAAAATGTTGACATGAAGCTTGTGGGTTCTCTTTGCTTTTCCTCTCCGGCTTTTGTTTTTTTGGGTTTTTTGTTTTTTTGACTCATAGAAACACAAAAGTAGTATTAATGAAGAATAGGAGATGACCAAAATATTTTAAGATTCACATTAATACCCATTTACATGTAGCTTGCTATAGAAAAACAACTTTAAAATTACAGAGAAAAAAAAGTAAGAGAGGATTTATATGTACCAGATATCCCCAAACCAAAGGCACATGAGAGATTTTTATATGGGGCCTAGTTAGAATCTAATTTTTCTTTGTCTCTCGATAGTTTCTCAAAAAGAAAGCTGGAGGTGACATTGATACAGAGAATGTAGCAAGTCCAGAAAATACAACCTATTTTTCCTACCTCATGTAAATTGAAACTCTTTAAGGGGCTCAAAAGAAAGTAAAAACTTGAGATTTCAGGCCTGGTTCAGTGGCTCACTCCTGAAACCCTAGCATGCTGTGAGGCTGAAGCAGGAGGATCACTTCAGCCCATGAGGAGCCCAGGAGTTTGAGGTTGCAGTGAGCTATGACTATGCCATGGTACTCTAGCCTGGGACAGAGCAAGATCTTGTCTCAAAACTACCACTACCACCACCCACCAGCAAAACAAAACAAAACAAAAACCCATACAACTTGTGATTTCAGTTCTAATCAATGGTCTGGACAGAACTTTATTGATATTATTATCATTATGTTTTATATATATATATTTTTTTCAGACAGAGTCTTAAGCTATCGCCCTGAACAGAGTGCTGTGGCATCACAGCTTACAGCAACCTCAAACTCTTGGGCTTAAGCGATTTTCTTGCCTCAGCCTCCTGAGTAGGTGGGCTAAGTGCCCACCACAATGCCCGACTATCTTCTTGTTGCAGTTGTCACTGTATAGCAGACCTGGGCCAGGTTCCAGCCTGCCATCCCCAGTACATGTGGCCAGCACCCTAACCACTGTGCTATGGGCGCTGAGCCATATGTTTTAATTTTTTAACATACCAAGCCTTCAAATTTCATTCAGTACCAATTTTACTAGTTTTTCCCAGACCTTTGTATTTTACTGTTTGTAAAAACTTTCCTCCAAATCTGATTATCTAAAATAGGGTCAACAAAATTTATTTTGCTAAGGACATTTTTTAATTAGCTTATTTTTAAAAAAGAAAGGATGTTTTAACAAGTAGAATATACATAACCCAGGAATACTTTCTTATAAGTTAAATGAGTTCACATTTATAAAAATAATTCAGTGCACTGTCCCTGGTATTCTCATATTGGAATGAATCACAGTAAAAAACAGATGCAGGTAACATTTCTGAATCTAAGAATTCAAATAAGTCCCGAAAATGGAGACTCTGCTATCTCAAACAGGGAGATATGGTCCTCACACTGCCTCACTTAGTAAGGATTTAACTTGAGCCACAGAACAATTTTTACTTAGGAAAATCCACATGACTTAAGTCAATGATATAATTCCAGTATCTTTTTTGTATGTTGTCATCAATGTTTTTTAAAGGTATATTAATATCTAGAGCAGTAGAAATCAATCTTCATTCTCACCCCAAATCTCTAAAAAACTTAAAATAAATTTATATTCTCATTCTACTAGAATGTTTTGTTTTGCTTTTTAAGAGACAGAGTTCAGTTTGCTGCCCTCGGTTGAGTGCCGTGGCATCACAGCTCATAGCAATCTCCAACTCCTAGACTCAAGTGATTCTTTGCCTCAGCCTCCTGAGTAGCTGGGACTATAGGCACCAGCCACAACGCCCAGCTATTTCTGGCTATTTTTTTGTTGCAGTTTGGCCGGGGCCGGGTTTAAATCTGCCACTCTTGGTATATAGGGCCAGTGCCCTATCACCAAGCCACAGGCACTGCCTACATTCCAGAGTTTTAATGGAATGATGAACTGTATGTCAATTAATATTATTTCAGAATTAATATTGTGGTAATTCAGGGCTTGTTTATGATAATTAGTTTCAGTTATCTCAAATATAATCTATACAATATGAATTTCAGCAAGCATAACAGTTTTTATACAAGTACCCTGTTTGGTAATTTTGACCTCAAAAAATTGCATTTACAAGGCACAGGGGCAAGATTAGATACTTCTCTAATCTTTGTGAATTTCAAATTTTTAACATATGCAAGCTGTTTGTTAAATTGTCACTTTTTGTTTCTTGGTACAGTTGGGGATAGTGTTAGGTCTAAACAAATGTTAGCATAGAACATTCATCTGAGTATATAAAAATCAATTCTATAGATCCTGCTGAGTGCTAGTGCATATAAACTTTTTATTTGGAGAGAGAAGGGCTTAGAACTTTATTCAACTAAAAAGCAGCTCAGCAAGTTTAAGTTCCCAATGCCTTAATTTCCAGTCAAATTAAGTGCTGTCATCATTAAAACGCTCCTCATCATGTTGCTGAGTGTTTCATTCACGCTGTTGTCTAGAGTTTTATGCCATTCAATGCAATTTGTCCTGTGGGGCTTTTTTCTCCAGATGAGCTTTATGCTAAGTTATCACACTGCTTTCGTGATGACAACTTTATCTTCAGAACCTGTAAATATTGCCGGTTTAGTTACTGTCAGCCCCGTTCTTTCTCACTTTTCTTTCTCCATGGAGGTGGGAATTTTAAAACTCAATCACAATGTCACAGTGGGGATATTGTCAAATTCTCTTCTAACTGCATTTTTATATAGCACCAATGTTGGCATGTGTATCTTACAGTGTTAAATACTTATTCCACCTACCATTTTCAGATTTGCAATACTTAAAAATTTGATCTGAAATGAAATCATGAACTTCTTGTCATCCAAACTTGCAATCCTCCATTCAGTTCTTCTGACGATACAAAATAAACCTCTTCATTTTCTTTTCCTATTCCCACATTTATAAAGAAACCAGTTTTCATCTGTCAGTATAACCTTCTATTGCTCCTTTGACAAAGTATTACCCTTGCTTTAAAAAAATTCTTGTCTGGAGGCTGGGCGTGGTGGCTCATGCCTGTAATCCTAGCACTCTGGGAGGCCCAGGCAGGTGGACTGCCTGATCTCAGGAGTTTGAGAACAGCCTGAGCGAGAGCGAGACCCCATCTTTAAAAAATAGCTGGGTGCTGTGGTGGGCGTTTGTAGTCTCAGCTACTTTAGAGGCTGAGACAAGAGGATCGCTTGAGCCTAAGAGTTTGAGGTTGTTGTCAGCTATGATGCTGTGGCACTCCACCAAGAGTGACAAAGTAAGACTCTTCTCAAAAAAAAAAAAAAAAGAAAAAAGAAGAAAGAAAATCCTCCTCTCATTAGGAAAGTCCACTCATTATAAATCATTTTAATGTGCCAGAACATGAGCATCACCTTCACAGTTTTGTTTCTTCCTGGTATTTTAGGTTCTATCAAAAAAGTTTTATTAGTGAAGTTGCCTGAATATAAAACAAGTGATTTGGGTATTTTATAAATAAGGTGTTCAATACTCTTGATGGGCACAATGCAGGAGGTTGGCCCACCTCCTGGGGACAGGACACCACGACAACAGGGATGCCACCTGACAAATGCAGACACTGGAACCTAATTCTTTGTACCCTCAAATTAACCTGAAATTAAAAAACAGAAATTCTTGATAGGCCTTCAATGATTCCCCAACAATAAAAAAAAATTCTTGATGGGATCGTACAGATTTAATCCTTGTTCAACTAGGATAACAATGAGTTTTCAGTTGCTCTAAAAGAGAGGATCTTGGGTGGCACCTGTGGCTCAGTGGGTAGGGTGACAGCCCCATATACCAAGGGTGGTGGGTTTGAACTGGCCCTGGCTAAACTGCAACAAAAAATAGCCGGGCGTTGTGGCGGGCGCCTGTCCCAGCTACTCAGGAGGCTGAGGCAAGAGAATCGCCTAAGCCCAGGAGTTGGAGGTTGCTGTGAGCTGTGACACCATGGCACTTTACCAAGGGCGATAAAGTGAGACTCTGTCTCTAAAAAAAAAAAAAATAATAATAATAATAATAAAAGAGAGGATTTTATGCACAATGCTCACTTAACACATACCTAGTGCATCACAGTATTAAAATGTGCTCTTGGCCCTTTTTAAATAATATTTTTTAAAGATTTTAATTTAAGCTTGGGGTAAGAAGGGTTATTATAAATTTAATGATTTGCAACAACTGCTAATATAGTAAATTAAAAGTTGTTCACATTTCAAGTGTAGCATGTCACGCTCCATAATTGATACTTATCTCAATATTCTGGGGCAAAAATCTCAGCCTCTCTATCTACGGCTGAACACCTGCTATATTCCACGATTACTGGAACTGCTTTTCACAAATCACATCTCTGGTAACTTAAACAAATAAATCACTTCAATGGTCCTTTTCCCTCTACCACCAATACTTTCTCTCCATTGCTTTTTACTAGTAAAACGCAAGTGATACATTAAAAATAAGGCAAAGCAAAGAAGCAAGGGAACCACAGTTAGCTCTGCTCAGGAGGCCCCACGGTCCTGGCTATGAGCACTGCACACACCTCTGGAATCCTCCAAGGCCCATGGTTTTATGATATTCAAAGCCGATATCTGCTTTTGGGTGATCAAAGCAAAACCAGAGGCTCAACTACTAAGAGCCTGCTAGACTTTCCTGAATCTCTCCATGTCCTTCTTTTAGAAAATGGACACACTGGATGAGACGTAACAAACTGAAATACCATGTAAATGAAATCAAGACAGGCTTTCCTGAGCCCACACAAGCATTTACTATAAATAGGTCCAAGATTTTTGTTCTCTTGTGTTCTGACACACTTCAAGATTTGTATAATACCAGACTGTTAACCTGTATGTTCTTTAAGTTGTGATGAATGTGCTGGGTGTTAGTAAGCTCTGGGCCAAAGACCTAGACAAATGGTACCTTAGACCTCCTTCTGCTAGAGTGAAATGCAAGATCAGCCCGATTCTAGCTCAAGGAAGGTCCAAATGGGAGTTGATCCAGAAAGCAAACTACCTGCTGGTTGGTCCCCTCACACGGGCCTGGGACAGTTACATGCCAAGCTCTTACCCCAGAGGCAGCATTGAACTCATATTAAAGGGAGGGAAGAAAGTGTCTTTATCACAATGATCCTATCACAAAGCTTTGTTACCCAATGGCCACTAATAAAGACACCGCTAATGAGTGTGCAAAAATGAATATATCAACTCAGTCATGGGCCACATAATGATTTCGGTCAATAACTGACCACATATACCTTGGCGGTCCTGTAAGATTGTGACAGAGCTGAAAAATCCCTATCACCTGACGGATTTGTTACGGCTCCCTGCAGTGCCGCGTGCAGTGACTCGCTGTACAGGTCTGTAGCCTGGGAGCAACAGGTCACCCCACACGGCCCAGATGTGCAGCAGGCTGTGCGTGGAGGTTTGTGTAAGGACACCCTGTGAGGTTCTGCAATGACAAAATTGCTAAAACAAGTCTTTCAGAATGCGTCTGCATCATTAAGCCATGCATGACTGTAAACAGAACTGGGCTACTTATGATTCGAGGTCCAACAAGCCAACTTCAGCAAAGAGCAAGGAAAGAATTCAACAGTTTTATGTACAGCTGACAAAAAAGCTTTAAAAAGTTACCGCTGACGATCTGACTTGTATGTGGCCGTCAGCTCGTCGAACATGGTGCTGTTCATCTCCATGAAGGCCTTGAGCACATTGTACACTAGCGCCACGATAGCCCTGGAGGACAGGAGAGAGGGGACAGGTCAGTCTTACCCAGTAGCCCTGGAAGGATAGGAGAGAGGGGACAGGTCAGTCTTAATGAGTAGGATGCTGAACCAAGAAAGCAAAAGCCCAACTTCTGTCTGAACGAGTTTCTCATAACTACCACTTTTTAGTTGGAGCAGCTGGAAATGACCCATATTCATTTTCACAGCAAAAGATTTACTCTTTCCTGCTCAAGGCCAGGTGTCTTTCTGAGGGTGGCAGACTGAGAAAAAAAGTCTAATTTTCCCTCTACTAATTATTGGTACCTAGAACAGACTTGACTGTAGGCACTTGATAACTTTATTTAATAAACAGGCAAATATAAAAATAAAACTATTTTACCCTAAAATAAGCGCCCATGGTAGGAGTAACCTTAGATCTTACATGGAATTTTAAAGTAATAATATACGTAAATGTTATAAACTTATACCAATATTATATGAAGCCTGAGCTCAGTGGCTAGGGTGCCAGCCACATATACTGGAGCTGGCGGCTTCGAGCCCAGCCCTGGCCTGCCAAACAACAATGATGACTACAACCAAAAATAGCTGGGTGTTGTGACAGATGCCTGTAGTCCCAGCTACCTGGGAGGCTGAGGCAAGAGAACTGCTTAAGTCCAAGAGTTTGAGGTTGCTGTGAGCTGTGATGCCACAGTACTCTACCATGGGTGACAAAGTGAGACTGTCTCCAAAAAAAAAAAAAAAACCCAACATATATGTGTGTATATATATATATTATGAAAACCACTCATATCCAAAGAGATGACACCAAGCCCTTATAAGAGGGGCAGTTTGATATGAGCTATTTGTTGGGACGTGACTTGCTTTAGTCCACCCACCCACTCTTGGCTGCTTGCTGACCTAGGACGTGCACTGGTGAGGTAAGTGGCAACTGGTGATGGCTATTAGCTCTGCAACACCATACAGCTGAACAGCCAAAATGGTGGCTTTCACTTTTCCAGAGGAAGAGTAAGCTCTGGGCAATGTTGGTTATGATGATCTCCTCAGCTTCAGACTAGTCTTACAGCTTCACCCTCTGCAAAAATATTCATTGCTTCTGTTTTGCAACAAACATGCTCCCAATACCACTGAAAAGGGTACTGGCCTCTGATTAAATAAGCTATGAAACATTTAGAAGAAAAGCGTGCTTGCTGCGTAGGCCCCTTCCCGCGTCCAATAAAAGGAAAACTTAAGTTCTCCACTATGAAGTTTCCAGAATGGCCTTCCTCACAAGAGCGGTTATGCAGAAGTACCACAGACTGTACGGGGGCAGTTACAGCCACCTGCTAGAACCACCGTCTAGGCCCTAAGAGACTGTGTGGGACTCCATCGTTTATGAGCCCCTTATCTTTATAAGTTCTATTAATAAAATCAGGCAAATCTGAAACATGAGAAAATGTGGTATCTTACAATTATATAATTTTAAAACAAACCTGTTATGAATATACTCAATTACACCTACTAATTTTTTGATGCCACATTAAATTTGCTTCCATCCTACAGAGAAACACATAAAGTCATTCAAATATAGAATACTTTAACTTTCATAGGACTGAATATTATTAAACTTTTCCTTTAAGATTTTAAATTTGACTTTTCCTGGAGAATATGTACTATGTATAATGACTGAGTTGGTTGTTAAGAAATGGATCTTGCTAAAATGCAAATCTAGCTGGGCCACTTCCCTCCTCACAAGCCTTGAGCATTTCCTTATCATTCACCTGGTGAAGGCTCAGTGAACCATCTGCTTATCTGCTAACACCCTCTCCCAAAGACTTCATACCTTAACCTTCCAAACACATGCACGGGGTCTCAGAACTTGACAGGTGCTTATTACATCTCTGCCCTTTTTGTGTCATGGAGGGACCCATTATCTGAATGAGTGTTTCCCCATCCTGTCCATTTGCCAAATTCCCTTAAGATCTAGCTTGAGCACGCCACCCACCCTCAAATCCATAAAGCTCTGTTCTTAGCACCAGAGCATCCCCCCCCCCTCCAAAATTGCTACCTTCCCAGACAGGTCAAGCCTTTTAAGCAAACAGATATTTTAACAAAACAACACAGTTTTGTTAAAATGTTTATTTGTGGTTTTCTCCAACCAGTCAGTGAATTTCTAAAAGGAATTTTATCTTTTCACAAATCTGTCCCTGGCAGCAAGCACTCCACATTTCTTTAAGAAAAAGAGGAAGTGTGTGTGTGTGTGGGGGGGGGGGGAAGGAATGGAGAGAGAAAACGAGGGAGGGAGGGAGGGGAAGGAAACTGAAAACCTACGGATTCCAATGCTCTTTCGAAATCCTATAGAGACTGGAAAACATGATGGGAAGGATGACATTCGAGTTTTCTTCTATCAAACTCATAATGTATTCATTATTCCAATAATAGAGTGCCCTTTCTGCCACCTTTGGGAAAAGAAAAAGAAGTTAAGAGAGAGAAAAAGACAAAGGGAAATAAAATCACCTTCCAAACAGAAGTATTTTAAAAGACTGTTGTTAAATCATTTACTCAAATGTAATTAAATAATAATTATACTTTTTTCATGCATTTAAAATCTCACAGAAAGTTCCAACATGTTTCATCAATTTGGGGAAGGAAAAGAAATTGGCCTGTTAATTTATATTCTCCCATAACTCTGTCTATGTCACCTGATTCCAGATTTTTCCAATATAGCTCCCAAGATACAAACACGTTTACCATCTGTCCACCTACCATGCTATTTCCCCAATCATATTAACCATCTTCTACATCTCCTTTCTTTTCCTTCCTTTTCTTTTTTTTTTTGAGACAGAGTCTCACTTTGTCACCCTTGGTACAGTGCCGTGGTATCACAGCTCACAGCAATCTCCGACTCTTGTGCTCAGGTGGTCCTCTTGCCTCAGCCTCCTGAGTAGCTGGGACTATAGGTGCCCTCTGCAATGCCTAGCTATTTTGAGGGATGAGGTCTCATTCTTGCTAAGGCTGGTCTCAACTCCTGAGCTCAAGCAATCCACCTGCCTCAGCCTCCCAGAGTGCTAGGATTACAGGTGTGGGTTTTTTTTTCCTTTTAGATAGAGACTCACTCTGTTGCCGTGAGGGGAGCGCTGTGGCATCACAGCTCACAGCAACCTCAAACTCTTGGGCTCAAGTGACAAGGAACCTAGGATTTTCCTACATCCAATTACAAGTCTAATTTTTATCTGCTACATGTGTTACATTATCTGAACACTTCATGTAATAGTTTCTACATTCCTGGTTTCAAGGCTTCTATTTTGTTCCGTGGTATGACTACCAGATTGTTATAAGATCACTGCTTTAACATACTAACATGCGTTTAGGTCCAAAACTGAAACAACAGCAACCAGTATTTCTAACTATGAAAGATAATGACAACTTAAGGAAAAAGTCCACCATCAAAGATGTGGCTCTGTGTTAAGAACTACAACCTGAACAGCCTCTTCAAATCGGCAGGCAACATTTAAAGACTCAGTTCTCAGGTTCATGATACGACCTTCAGTGAGAGGCCAGCAGACAAAATCTAAAGTGTGTTCCATCCTGTAACCTTCTTTCCTCCTGGCAGAGTCCACAGCACTGCAGCGACGACTCCAAGAAAAGAGTCCGTTGCCCAGGTTCACCTTCCCTGTGTTCCCCGAGTGGCCATGGGGAGGCAGGGCAGTGCCACTGGAAGAAGAAACTGTACCTAAGGTCCGAATTAGACTCCACTCCCTATGAACTTGGACCCTGAGCAAAAACATTCTCTGAGCCTCATTTTTCCCCCATCAGAAGACACAGAAAAGTTTATAATCAATGTATGTAAAGCACCTCGCACAGTATGGAATCTGAGGGTTCTCTCTCTCCTCGGGGGCATGATTTAGCATTCTCTCTTACACACTGTAGAAACCCTCCCAGCCCACTTATTCTGCAGCTTACCCAGAACACTTTTTTAACACTTTTGAGCTTGGGTGTTCACATCTTTCGATATGTAAAACACACAAGCCCTCCTAGCAGGATATTGTGAGAATTAAAATTACTGGACAAAAAAACACCATGACAGTCCCTCCTGCGTGGCATGTGCTCAAGACAAAGGTCACTACAACTAAAATTATTATCTTCATGGGAGAAAAAAGCAAACAAACATTTCTTTCAACACAAATGAAGTTTAGCCAAAATAATTCACACTGTAAAGGCCACTCTGGCTCATGTTCTTTTTACTACTAACCTGAAAATGGGGGCTAGACACACACTTGGCAATTTGTTTAAACAAAGGTTCTTGAATTTTAACAAATTGTGAAGGTTCAATCACATCCAATATTTCTTCCAGCTCCCCAAGGAACATGACCTATAAGTACAAGTAAAAAAACAAAATGTGAGGCTTTCTATTAAAAATCCATATGAACCACAAAGATTAATGACATTTAGTTCATTTTAAGTTTGTACTATTTTAAGAAAAATTTACAAATAAAATCAAATATAAATGAACCAGGCATTATTCCACGTGATATGTTTATTTCACAAGTAATTCACCATAGAGTATTTCTTAAAAGCAAGTGCCCCACAGCACTGAATATATAATTCTTGCTTGGAAAAACTCCTCTACTCACTATGTACGTATATTACACTCTGTACTGGGCTCCGGGAATCACTCCTATCCCCACGGGGCTCTCCTCTCTGCTGCTTCCAACTCAGCTATCTCCCCTCAAAGCTTCTGTAAAAATAATAGGAGGCAGGCCTTCCTGCACAAAGAGGCAGAAGCCCAAACGCAGTCATTTGCCAGACAGTTACAGCCCTGACGGTGAGCTATGTGCTCCTCTCAGATGCGCAGAACAGATTGAGTCTTTGGTGAGCTTTTTTGTTTTGTTTTGTTTTGAGACAGTGTGTCACTCTGTTGCTCTGGGTTGAGAGCCCTAATGTCATAGCTCGCAGCAACCTCCAGCTGTTGGGCTCAAACGATCCTCTTGCCTCAGCCTCCTCAGTAGCTGGGATGACAGATGCCTGCCACAACACTTAGCTAGTTTTTCTATTTTTAGTAGAGACAGCATCTCGCTCTTGCTTAGGCTGGTCTCAAATTCCTGACTTGTCCAGGCCCCCTTTCCTGGCTCACCACTTTGATCCCATACACTCAGGTCAACCACTGGGCCCCGCACGTGGCTGGTCTTCAGTCACAGCTACTGAGGAAAGCCCAGAATTGCCCATCGCTGTAGAGAGCCACATATATCCAGCACTGCCTGCAGGCAGGCATGATGCCTATGCTGCAGGTGGGATCTACCGTCCTCACCACCATCCAAGAAATAGCACCACTGTGCTCTCTTATAGATGGGGTCTCTTGCCCTGGCTAGTCTTGAACTCCTGAGCTCAAGTGATCCTCCTGCCTCAGCCTCCCGGAGTGTTAAGATTACAGGTGTAAGCTACTGTGCCTGGGCCAGATAAAGTCTTAAAAAACACAAAATAGCAGATTCAGCCACATGTAGGCTTGATTTTAAAGCCAATACCTCATGCTGACCCATTCTCCATGCTTACACACAAACCCAATTACTCTCTACAGGGCACAGTGAATCTTGTGTGCCTTGAGAAACAGAGCTTTTAGATCACAACAGGGAACATCAAATCAATAGTGCAAGTCAATTGCTCTTTGTTTTTTGTTGTTGTTGTTGAGACAGAGCCTTAAGCTGTCATCCTGGGTAGAGTGCTGTGGCATCACAGCTCACAGCAACCTCCAACTCCTAGGCTCAAGTGATTCTCCTGCCTCTACCTCCCAAGTAGCTGGGACTATAGGTGTCCGCCACAACGCCCAGCTATTTTTTGGTTGCAGCCATCGTTGTTGTTTGGCGAGCCTTAGGTTGAATTCAAACCCGCCAGCTCCGGTGTATGTGGCTGGTGCCTTAGCCACTTGAGCTACAGGAGCCAAGCCCAAGTCAATTGTTTTAAATATAATGGAAAAATGATGGAGAAATGAAAACTAATGTACTTATTCAGCCATGAAAAAATAATTACCTTGGAAAAAAATTAGGTATGCAATTGAAGTATGAAAAATAGCCATGCTTTCTTATCTTGAGATGCATATGGGTTGCAATCCCTAATTTAATTTTATCTAATAGGTATTAAGAAATTAGATGATCTTCTGCATTTGTATAAAATAGGGTTTGGAGAAATAAAGTTAATTTGAGAAGGATGTTTCTGCTAAAAGTAAAATACAGTAGACCCTTTCCATCAGCTAAAATATGTAAGAGGTTCTCCCAAGATTCTACCAGAACATAAAACTAAAAGCTGACCTTTTTTCTGGACTATTTTCCACAGTTTCTAACCTTCTAGAAGAGTGCTGCAGGTCTGGTGTCCAGTCAAGTTCACCTCCAAGCTAAGATACTTACTCCCTCCGCTGTAACAACCTTACCCAGCACTACACATGTCTCACAAGATACAAATGATCGTGGGTCTGACCTTCCCAATGTCACTTGTGAATGGCTGAAATTAAAGGCCTGTCATAAATTTTAAGACCATTGAGATTCCATCTATGCTATGCTTTAAAGTGGGTATTTGGGCAGGCTGCCTTATCTATCAAAAGTGACAGAAAAATCTCCATACTATGAAGTAAGTCACTAGGAGAGTGACATCAACAGAGTTAGACAACTGGACACGTGATGGGGCCCTGAGCTGGACTGACCTGAAGCTCAGAGACATCATGAATTAAAACTCAGTGTGCAGCCGGGTCTGGTGGCTCATGCCTGTAATCCTAGCACTCTCGGAGGCTGGACTGCCTGAGCTCACAGGTTTGAGACCAGCCTGAACAAGAGCCTCATCTCTAAAAAAGAGATAACTGGGTGTTGTGATGGGCACCTATAGTCCTAGCTATTTGGGAGGCTGAGGCAAAAGAATCGCTTGAGCCAAAAAGTTTGAGGTTGCTGTGAGCTGTGACACCACAGCGCTCTGCTGAGGGTGACAAAGTGAGACTTTGTCTCAAAAACAAAAACAAAACAAAACAAAACAAAAAACAACACCCCAGTGTGCAGAAGTCAGGGAGGCAGGGTCTGGCCCAATCACCTGTTCTTAGTTAGTGTTCTTGGGCAGGCTACTTAGGCTTTCTGCAGTTTCATAATTAGTAAAACAAAAATATGTATAGCCCTGATAGAGCTACAGTGAGGTTTGGACGAGACGGTGTATCTTATACTACATGCTCAGCCCCATGTCTGGCCTCCACAAAGTATTTAGTAAGCTGGTAACACTCTCTGACATTCAGTACTTACCTCTTTTTGACTACATGTTTTAGGCCAAAATTTCATTAACCCCCTAATAACCTAAAATGAAAAGGAAAAAAGAAATGGCATTTAGTTTTTCATATACACTTTTAGGAGAGGTGGTTTTTCTGAAGTTTTTTGAAATTAAAAATAAATACTTACTGGTTCTGTGAGTGAAGGATCTTTCTCCAGAAACTGTACTATACAATATGCCAGCTGAAGAAATGAAAAAATTGAAAGACAAAAATTTCAATTCTGTATAGGAAGAGCTCAAAGGTGTTTTATTAGCATGTCCTAAAAAGTTTCCAGACCGGCTTTAATAACTTTACATTCAATTCATATATATATTTATTTATTTAAATATATATGTATATATATTTATTTATTTAAATATATATGTGTGTGTATATATATATATATATAAAACGTGAAATAAAAACTTTTTCGAGCCATAAATTGACATTTATGAAACTCCAGGGGAGTTTTTTAAGAAGAGTACACAAGGTCCCCAGCTAACGTGGAGCAGAGGTGCCTGTCACGTCCAGTGAGCTGGGAAAGTGTCTCATCATGCGTGGTTTAGGCCACATCGCGTGGGCTTCCTTTTTCTTTCTGCTGCCATTGACAGCAGTGGGCTTTACTGTTCCAGAATAGTCCCCCATAGGAAATAAGCATTTACTAAAAGTCTTGCTGACTCCCTGAAATGGCGGGCATGCCAAATACAGCAGTTTATGAAGAGATAAAAGGTTGAGGCTGCCGGCTACAACCTGGAGAGATGTAGAAGGAGCGCTAATCTGATTTAACTATCAAAGTGAGAATTCTTTTAAATAATCACAGAATATGATATCCCATTTCAAAAACTAAAGGCAAGATTTGTAGAGGGTTTGTAAAGCTTCTTGGACAAGAACAGTACCTTCACAAGACATTTTGGAAGTGTTCTACATTAGAAACATATGGATTAATTTTTCCTCAAAATACAGAATTTCACATCTAAAAAAGAATACTGCTTAGAAAAATGTATTACATTTTTGAGCAAACTCAAAATATTCCCGTGAGAGAGTGGGAAGTCAGAGGTTTGAAATTCTAAAACTGAAAACACACTGGATCGCTTACCTACCCTCTGGTGACATGCTCACCAGGCAAGGCAGCGTCAGCATGAGAATTTGCGTGGGGACAAGACAGTATGCTTTTTAAAGTAATGAAGGCTTAAAAAAGGGTGTGAAAATACCAATCAATGTCTTTACTTGTGAGAGTATCTGTGTGTAGAACATGAGAAAATGGTGAATGAACCAGAAGGGGGTTAAAGGGCAGCTGATTTGCTAATGCAGGACAAAATCCTCAGGGACATTAAAAAATGCTTACATGTGCCAAAGACCTCTGTTTGACACACATGACACGCAACATGTACGCTATATAATTGTGTCATCTAAGTTCTTTGTAGAATGAGATGACCAAACAAAGGCTTCTCCTACTTTTAAAATATTCCCATGATTCTACTATGCATAGAAGAAAATATACACACTGATATGTATTTTCCTCAGGGAGCATTTTATTTTATTTTATTTTTATTTTTTTTGGAGACAGAGCCTTAAGCTGCTGCCCTGGGTAGAGTGCTGTAGCATCACAGCTCACAGCAACCTCCAACTCCTGGGCTTATGTGATTCTCTTGCCTCAGCCTCCCAAGTAGCAGGGACTACAGGCACCCGCCACAACATCCAGTTATTTTTTGGTTGTAGTTGTCATTGTTGTTTGGCAGGCCCACGCTGGGTTCAAACCGGCCAGCTCTGGTGCATGTGGCTGATGCCTTAGCCACTTGAGCTATAGGTGCCAAACCAAGCATTTTAAACTGTAACAAGTCTCTCTCTTTTTGTTTTTTTAGAAATTAAGGAAACACCAACATCAAAGATACAATAATACAACAACCTTTTGCTTCGGAACACAGTTGCACAGAATCCTACCTGGGCGTGGAAGAGTGATAAGCTCCTGACAGTGTGTAAAGGGATCAACACTTTCACCAGAAACTGTTTGTGTTCTGCCTTAAGAGGTAAAGCAAAGCCATTGATAATACTAGGAAAAAGAAAGAGACACAAATTAGCTATGTTACCACAACAAGCTAAATCAGACCAGGGGCTTATATCCCAGTGAAGACACTGTTCTTGTGAGATTAGTTAAAAGTAATCAATTTATATTTGTAAAGAACAACCTAATACCCATTCCAGTGACATCCAAGATTTCTTAGTCACTTCAAAAAATACATTTAAGGATGAAGAAATTAAAGGAAGAAGAAAATTTGCTTATGATCACCCACCCAATAGAGGGTCCTGTGCTCTCAAAATTAGCTGGATGCTTCCCAAAAGCTTGTTGTCAAACTCCTTTATTTTCCCTTCCTTTTCCCTCTTTAAATAATCACCTGCCTTGTTCACTTTCTCTTTAAATGACTCTCCCCTTTCTAGACATCAGGCCTTCTCAAGTCTGAAATCTCCACCCAGGCCAGGGAAGTCACTGGGAGAAGGCTGACTCCGCCTTCTGTGTCTCCTCACGAGACGAGACCAAGTCACTGCACTGCCTGGCTGTATTCGCCTCCCTGGTGTGTGTAGAAACTTCACAACAGCTATGTCTTTCCAAGCCCTTCCACTACTCCAGGCAGCAGCTGAGCTACCCCTGGGTACACAGTGTCTTTGAAAAGGGCAATCTTTCCAACTTATTACAAACTTGCTTTCAACAGATATGGCAAAGGACAGACAGCCTAGAAACTAATGAAAATAAGACACTTTGGAGTAACTGGTCTGACTGCAATCAGATGTTATCTCTGTAGTAACGAATGAACTGTTAGCTCTTCAGTTATTCCAGTGGAAATAACAACACATAATTGTGGAACAAAGGGAACAGGAAACGGCGTCTCATGGAGTTGTTGGGGCACATGCTAATAAGCACAGGCCAGAGTGGCTACCGGACAGACAGCAAGAGGTCTGGGGCGGTGCGCCCCCTGCTGCCTGAGCCTCATTTTCAGATGATCATCACCTGAGGTCAGCTGGGAGGTAAAAAGTGCTTACCTTCCTAATATTTCCAGCAGTTCAGCTACACCATTGAAGTGTTCTGTTTCATAAACAAACCTTAAAAAAGAGAAGAGAACAGAACAGAGGAGAAAAGAACAGAAAAAAGGAAGAAAAATAAAAAAGAGAAAAGAATAGAGTAAGAAAAAAGAAGATGGTATGGGGAAGAAGGGAGAGAAAGAAATCAGTACAAGATGTTCACATATTTGAGGTTTATTTAATACTTCTACAAAAACACCAACGTTGCTGCTTCTTATTCTACCCCCCACCCTCCACTTACCTTAGAAAAATATTGTTAATCTGTTTTCGGATAAATGCTCTAAGACCAAGAAACTTGCCATAAATTCTGTGTAAGACTGTTTTTAAGTAGTCCCGTTCCCGAGGGTCTTCACTGTCAAATAGCTCCAGAAGCTGCAGTAAATGAAATACAGTATTGTCAGAGGCAGCTTCAGCAAAGGATGTGGTGATTCTATCCTCATACGGAATACCCCTTCCTTCCTTCCTAAAGAAGTTACTGAGTATATTCCTTTAGAATGTAGTGATAAGTCAGGTCAGGGGCTTACGTTCTAGGGAAGAAATAAATGACAGTAACAATAATAATACAAATAATAATAGCAGCTAACACACAGGCAGCACTTACTAGGATCATCAGGCAATTTTCTCAGCTATCTACATATATTAATCCTCCCTGTAGTTTTATTCCCATTTTTCAGATGAAGAAAATAGGGCACAAAAAGGGTTAGTAACTTGCCCATGGCCTCACAGTATGTGGTAGAATTAGATCCCAACTTGGGACCAAAAGTCCACGAATTCACTCACTGTACGAAGCTACTGAGCTTATATTCCAAATACACAGTTAAGATAAGCCTTCAGCTCTACCAGAACATACAGATAAGTGAAACAATCAAGCAAACACCAAAAAGTTTCCAGTGGTACTAGCAATGTTCCCCTTTTAGGTCTGGATTCTTGTTATATAGGTATACTTCATTCTGTATTCACTGAGGTGGGGTGGCGCCTGTGGCTCAGTGGGTAGGGCACCAGTAAACCGAGGGTGGCAGCTTCGAATCCGGCCCTGGCCAAACTGCAACAAAAAAATAGCCGGGTGATGTGGCTGGCACCTGTAGTTTCAGCTACTTGGGAGGCTCAGGCAAGAGAATCGCCTAAGCCCAGCAGCTGGAGATTGCTGTGAGCTGTGTGATGCCACGGCCCTCTACCAAGGGCGATAAAGTAAGACTCTGTCTCTACAAAAAAAAAAAAAAAAATTCACTGAGGTGAACATTTACTATTTCTGGGTGCATGTTATACACGGATAGCCAATTTTTTTTTTTAACAAAGATGGATTATTTATTTTTTTATTTTTATTTTTTGAGACAGAGTCTCACTCTGTTGACCAGTCTGGAGTGTCATGGTGTCAGCCTAGCTCACAGCAACTTCACACTCCTGGACTCAAGGTATCCTTCTGTCTCAACCTTCCAAATAGCTGTGACTACAAGTGCACACCACAACACCTGGCTAATTTTTCTACTTTTGGTAGAGATGGGGTCTCATTTTGCTTAGGCTGGACTTGAACTTAGGATCACCTGAACTCAAGTGATCCTCCTATTTTGGTCTCCCAGAGTTCTAGGATTATAGGTGTGAGCCACCACAGTCCATGAATAACATTTTTAAGTTCCAAATCAAGTGTAAAGTTAAGAACAGAATCCAGATAACATCACGTCTATGTACTCGTAATGAGAGAGATCCAAAAGCGGGAACAGGCCAAGAGACCCACTCAATTCCCACAATAAAAAATTCCTGCTTTGCTTTTGCAGAAATTGACAAGTTGATCCTAAAATTTACATGGAAATACAAGAAACCCAGAAGAGTCAAAATAATTTTGGGAATAAAAGAACAAAGTTGGGAGACTCACACTTCTCCACTTTAACACTTAGCATTACAAAGCCACAGCCACAGAGGTCAAGACCACATGGTACTGGCATAAGGACAAACACACAGACCAAAGGAACAGAATTCCAAAAAGAAAAAAAGAATAGAATTCAAATAAACAAACCCTTATATTTACGCCAACTGATTTTCTTTTCTTTTCTTTTTTTTTTTTTTTTTGAGACAGAGCCTCAAGCTATCACCCAGGGTAGAGTGCTGTAGCATCACAGCTCACAGCAACCTCCAGCTCCTGGGCTCAAGAGAGTCTTCTGCCTCAGCCTCCCAAGTAGCTGGGACCACAGGCGCCCGCCACAATGCCCGTCTATTTTTTGGTTGCAGCCGTCATTGTTTGGCGGGCCCGAGCTGGATTCGAATCCGCCACCTTAGGTGTATGTGGCTGGCGCCTTAGCCACTGGAGCCACAGGTGCCGAGCCACACCAACTGATTTTCAACAAAGAACATCATTACATTTTAATGGGGAAAGAACAGTCTTTTCAACAATTGGTGCCATAACAACTGGGTATCTGCAATCCAAAAGAATAAAGTTGGACTCCTAACTCACACCAGACACTCAAATTAACTCAAGATGGATAGTCAACCTATGGGCAGAGTAAAACAATTAGAAGAAAGCATAAGAATAAGTCTTTATAACCCTAGATTAGGGGATGGTTTTTTGGACATGACACCAAATCATAACAAAAGAAGAGACAGATAAAGTCAACATTGTGAAAATTAAAAACCTTCAAGAAAGTGAAAAGACACAGAAGAGGAGACAATACAGACCCTTGACCAACTTAGAAATAGGTCCACTTATACATGAATTTCCTTCGGCCTCTGCCATTCCTGAGACAGCAAGATCAGCCCTTCCTCTCCCCGCCCCCATCCTGCACAGCAGGAAGCTGACGCAGATGAAGACCTCCATGATGATCCCCTTCCACTCAGTGAATAGTAAATATACTTTCTCTTCTTTATGATTTTCTTAATAACATTTAATTCTATCTTATTTTAATGGGAAGAATATAGTATATAATATACAATGTGCCCAAAAATGTATACACATTTTAAGAAAGGAAAAAACTGTATTAAAATTGTAATAATTTATACCAATAACAAAAGATGACTATAAGACACCTTTGAGTACCTCTTGTAATTGCAGAAATCAAACATGACTTGAGTACTACAACTTTATAAATAAATTTTTCTTTTCTTAAAATGTGTATACGTTTTGGGATGCCCTTGGCATATCACATATAAAATATGTGTTAATCAACTATCAGTAAGGCTTCCCACCCACAGGAGACTATTGATAGGTAAATTTAGGGGAATGTATACAAATGGCCAATAAACACATGAAAAAAGTGCTCAATTTCTTTTTTCTTTCTTTCTTTTTTTTTTTTTTTTTGAGTCTCAAAAAAATAGTCCCAGAGTCTCAAGCTATTGCCCTGAGTAAAGTGCTATGGCGTCATAGCTCACAGCAGCATCAAACTCTTGGGCTCAAGGCAATCCTCTTGCCTTAGTTTTTCTATTTTTAATAGAGACAGGGTCTTGCTTTTGCTCAGGCTGGTCTTGAACTCGTGAGCTCAAGCTATCCACCCGCCTCGGCCTCCCAGAGTACTAAGATTACAGGCATGAGCCATCTTGCCCAGCTGAAAAGTACCCAAATTTCATTGATTATTACAGAAATGTAAATCCAAACAGAAGTGAGATACCAATTCGTTGAACAGCTATAATCAAAAAGAGGAATAATGACAAGTGTTGGCAAGGGTGTAAAGAAACTGGAAGCCTCATCTCCTGTTGGTAAGAATGTAAAATGGTTCAACTACTTTGGAAAACAGGTTGGTGGTTCCTCAAAGGAAACATCCTCCAAAGAGATATTCTACAACCAAGCAAAGCAACTCCCAGGTATATACCAAACAGAATTGAAAACACATTATCTGTACAAAAATTTTTACACAAATGTTCAATAGTAGCAATGTTCATAATAGTCAAAAACTGAAATAATCCAAATGTCCATCACCTGATAAATGGATAAACAAAATGTGATATAATGGAATACTATTCACCCATTAAAAGAAATGAGTCGTGATCCATGTTACAAAATGAATGAACTTTTCAAATATGATGAGTAAAAGAAACCAAACAAACAAGGCCACATAAGGTAAAATTCTATTTATATGAGGACGGAGACTTTACCTCCTTCATGCTTATATGGATGGAATTGGAAAATGCTCTTCTTAGCAAAATATCTCAAGAATGGAAGAAAAAGTATCCAATGTACACAGCCCTACTTTGAAACTAATTCATAGCTTTTATAGGAATGTCATAACCTAATTATAGCCTTAGAATATGGGAAAGGGGTGGGAGGGGGAGGTGAGGGGGGTGGATGGGGAGAGGGAGAGAGATTGGTGGGTCACCTCTATGGTTTATCTTACAAGGGTACAAGTGAATCTTTCTAAAAGCAGAGTATGAACGTTTTAACTCAATAACTAAGAAAATGACATGAAGGTTATGTTAACCAGTTTGATGAGAGTATTTCAAAATGTATATGAAAACAGCACACTGTACCCCATGATTGCATTAATGTACACAGTTATGCTATAAGAAATAATTTTTTAAAAATTCTATTTATATGAAATATCCAGAATAGGCAAATCCACAGAGACAGAAAACAGACTGGGGAGAAGAGGTCTGGGTTTCTCTGGAGGATGATAACAATGACCTGCAGTGACACTGTGGTGATGGCTGTAAAATTCTGTAAATATACTTTAAAACACAGACTAGGAACTTGGAAAGAATGAATTTGGGGTATGTGAATTATAACCCAATAAATCTGCTATCTTTTTAAAAATGACAGTGGGCAAGTTCCTCTGGATGGAAAACAAACTTGGTAGACTGGTTTGAATTTTACTCTGTTTTTATATTCATCATTATTGCAATAATGCAGAACTTGGAGTTCCAATCTTTACGGCACCACACTTCCAGAGCGCACCATAAGAGCAGACAGCCATTGTCGTCAAAAGCTATCAAGACGTATACACGCTTGGCTTCTGGTGGTTCAGACCCAAGGCTGAGACTAACAAGAGAAGGGCTCACTGGACAACAACAATCAAATGTGCTTTTTGGGAAGGCTTTTCTTTGAATGGAAGCTGAGTTATGGGCAAAAAACTAGCCCTTCAAAAATGGCAGGAAGTATAAACTGAAAAATCATCTTCAAAACAGGGAATGAAACAGGACGTACGTTTTGGCTGTACAATGCCATTCATCCATACAATGAGTATTTGAAGTAAATATTTACTGTGTGCCTATTAAATAGAGCTAACAAGTGGGCAAGGAGCCAGGGATAGAATGATAAGCAAGACAATCTCTGCTTTCTTAGAGCTGATTCTAAGGGGGAAAAGACACCAAGCTACGTGGTTCAGAATGCTGTATGAACGCACCACTGACATATCTACTCTTTCTGGAAGAAGTGGAGTGATTGGGAAAGTCTT